TTTTTAAAAAATTTTCAGTTTAAATCTTTTTCGTTTGAACAAATAAAATGTGTGAGAAATAAAATAATGTTGGTAAAAATTAAAATTTTTTTTTAAGTATATACAATGAAAAAGAAGTGTTAGATGTTTGTTGTTTTGCTAATAGAAGATGTTGTTAATTACTCTTAGCAACATAAAACTCATGTCCCTCAAAACATTTGGTGCTCTAGAGCCTTGATCAATGCTCTAGGAGATTCGGATGTGCTCCTAGTCCTAGAGCAACAATCCCCACCCTCCCCACTCCCAAAAGGAGATCACATCAATCATTTAGAGAAACTACAAGTGTGTGACAGCAATGGAGGTTAGGAAAGGTACCACATGAATATGATATAGTTTGGTCATCTTTTTACCTTCATTTGAGGAAGTGGGAATAACTTAGTAAAAAAAAGGCAACAAGGTTCATATTGGTATAGTTGCTTTGGACAGCATTTGTTCTGTTTTTGGCATTTGATTATTCTTCCCACTGCTAGCACCCTACCTTTTAAGCTTGGTTTCCACTTTGTGTAATGTTTGCAGCCACTTGGAAACCTTTCTTTTGGTATCATTACTCATCACGTTTAATTAAAGCCATAAACAATTTAACTTGAACCCACCCCACAAATGAAGCCACCACGCCTTTTAAGCTTGATTTCCACTTTATGTAATGTTTGCAGCCGCTTGTAATATCTATGCTTTGGGAAGTAAGAACCCACCGCAACGAATGAAGCCACCAAATGTCATTTAACTTGAACTTTTTTTTCTTTGGCGTTATTATTTAGAGTCTTCATTTTGTAGTTTGGATTGCACCATCAACAAACCATTCAATGAAAACTCGAATGTCAATTATTAGTTTTTTGAGGTGGAAAATGGTATGTAGAACATGAAGTAGCATTTTATAATAATTCTTTTTATTTGGAAGTTATGCATGAATTGATATGTATTTATTTATTTAATTTTACATTATATTATATATAAAATATTGTACTTTGTAATACTATCATTTTTAACAGAGAAAATGTTTTAAAAGAAAAAGATCTACTTCATCCAACGGTAAGTATTACCATTTTGTTGCCAATGTGACAAAATCTTTTACATTCACCTTTTCTCTTCAAAGTCACTCTTTTCTCCATGATATATCTCAGCATTAAGACCGGCTAATAATTAAAAGAAATGGATTCCAATATCCAAGAAAAAAAAAACACACAGATACACACACACATTAAGTGAAAAGGCATATGTGTTGGACATCTTCTGAAAGTTGGATACGAACCCAAAGCTAACACTTCAAAATTTTAAATGACAAAAAAAAAAAAAAAAAAAAAAAAAAAAGAATACCCTTTTTCATCATTATACTCACTAAGGTCATATCAATATTACAATTGTTCTCCTACCTTTTGATACTTTCATTTTTAGTGAGCTCTGTACTTAGTACCATAAAAGGGAAGAGAGGAAGACCAAAAAGAAAATAAAGTTGAACCCACTAGGGAATTTAATAATTTCCTATAATTAAAATACAGCAAACAGACGGTGTTTGTCTGTATGCTTTTTTAGTGTTGAGTTGAGTTGGTGTCATAATACACATAAGCATTGCGAGTACTAGGTTTTCTATGTTACATTAACCAAATTCTAAGTGAAAGGCTCTCTTACTTTTCTATCTCTAGAAAGTTTTTCTTGAAAAAAATTGTTGTTTCAGGAATTGAGCATGCTTTCTGATTGCGGCTTTTGATGTAGTGAAATGATGATGCATCTTCATATACTATTTCTTTAGTTCTTGAATGGATGCTGCAAGTGTAAATAATTGAAGAGTTCAGCTTTTTGGCAAATTGCAAAGAATTGTTCTAGTTCCTAGCTAGGAGTGGTTGGTAAGTATGGAGACTTTCCCCTAATCTCCATTTTATTAATGAGAATATTTTAAGGACCATCACTAAGATTTCTACATAGAAAAGGAGGAATAGTGGAGTTAAATATATGGATTTTGTTGCTTTTTCTTATTAAGGATATCAGCTTTTTTATGTTATTAATTAAGATTGCAAATTTTCAAAAATCTCTTATTAAGGATATAAAATTTTCAAAGTTTCTAGATAAAGATTTATTGGATGTGAATGGTGACATGATAGAGGGAATCGTTTAGTGGACCCATGATTGTTGCCAACATGTTTATGATCCTCCACTAACGGATTCCATTAGTCGACCCATTAAAAAATTGTAGTTCAAACAAAGTTACACAACCATTGGATGAGGTCTATATTCACATTTAAAGACCAAAGATTCATATCAAAAGGGCACAGTTATCCTAAGTAACTTTTTTGGAAAAATATGTGTATTTAATGGTATTTTAGGCAAGCTACTTTTTGTTTAGATTCAAATTTTGAATAAAGTGAAAAGAGATTTAGAAAAAAAAAAATGACTATTTCTTTTTATACAGCTTCTTATTATGTACATCAAAAAATGGTGTGCAACCCCATTTAGCTAAGCAAGCCCATGGGAAGTTGATAGCAAGTGAGGTCCGTGCATGATGTTTAATTTATGCTTTTTTGTTTCATGCAATTAACAAGAAGCGTATGTGCCATTGAAATACTTTTAGGGAGAAAATGCTCTTCATTTGAATGTTTTGAGGACTTAAATTATGGTTTTGCCAAAAGAAAAAGAAGGATCCTATTAGTTACTAAAACACTTTCAAGGTCAAAAATGCTATTTGTTTGAAAGCTTGAGAACTTAAATTATGGTTTTTGCCAAGTTCAATAAAATATTATGGTTTTTGCGAAGAGTGAAAAAAAAATGAAGCTTTTTTTGTTTTTACTCTTATTTTTTACAATGATAGTTTATACAATAAAATTTAACTCTTTTTATTCACTCAATTAGTCTCAAGATTCAAATTTGAGATTCAAAAATTGCAATTTTAATCCTTCAACTGTTGAGATATGTTGTAGAGAGTTTTTACTTTTTATAGGTATATGAATGCTGTTCAAATCCTAGGAAGTGTGCCAAGGTTGTCGAAAAATCCTTGAGTAGGAGTTGATGTAATTTGTTTTGTTTCTGTAAACTTTATATTTTATGGGTTTGATTACCCTTACCTTTGAAATAAAAAACTTTTTAGATTTGAAACTTTGTTTTGTTCTATTTTTAAAATTAACGTTTTAAAAATTATTGGATTACCAAGTCCGTTTTTTTAAGCATATTAGTTGATATAATGATCAATCTTTCATTAAACTATATAAAAGCTAAATTAAATAAAGATAATTGCTAATAAAAATAAATGTAAATAAAAAAATTAATACAAGATATTTTCAAAATATTAAAACAACAATTAATTTTGTCTAAATTAAAATAATAAAACACTTAAATGTAAGATAGAATAGTTAATCTGTATTTCACTTAATCATTAATGACTTAACCATTAATTCATTTAACCATTGATCCAAGTATGGATTGCTAATATTAATGACTTGGTCATTTGTTAATAATTAAGAGGGTTTTTTAACTTGTACCCTAACCCTAAACTCTAGAAGGATTTTTCTAATCTATACATTTAGAGCACATAGATATATTTATTGTATTTTTTATTAATTAATTTACATAAAATAATAAAAATTGACATTAATTTCAAAGTGATTGCCACTCATATAAATTTAATTGAATAATTATTAAATTAATGAGTTTTTCTTTTTTCACATTAATTAAATAAAAATATAATAAATACATCATTGATTAAAAAGTTTATTTAATCTATACTTTAAAACCACATGTTAAGAATGTAATAAATATATTTTTTTATAATTAATTTACATTAAAAATTATAAAAACTGACATATATTTTAACATTATTGACACATGTATAATTTTAATTGATTAATAGATTAAA